CGGGATGGGGGGGAGGCGGGGGTGGGGGCCTTCCCAGTGTTGCTTGGTGACCACGCTCTCCGCCCAGGCCGTTCCATTTCCTCAGCAGGGGGCGCCGCGGGCCGAGCCGTCGCTGTCGGACCTCCCAGAGCGGCCTTCTTCCGGCTTCCTCCCCTCTGCCGGGCGGTGGCGAGCGCCCGTGACGTCACAGGAGGCGGGGCCAGCGCCGCTGCCGGGTGCTGGAGGCGCCATTGGAGCCGGCTTGGCTTGTAAGCGCCGCTGAGGAGCCGGAGGTTGGACCGCAGATACAGCCGCGTCCGCTCCTGGTTCCTGGCCCCTCAGCGGCATGGCGTGCGGGGCGACGCTGAAGCGGCCCATGGAGTTCGAGGCGGCGCTGCTGAGCCCCGGCTCCCCGAAGCGGCGGCGCTGCGCCCCTCTGCCCGGCCCCACTCCGGGCCTCAGGCCACCGGACTCCGAGCCACCGCCGTCGCTTCAGATGCAAACCCTACAGCCGACTCTGCAGCAGCCCGCCCCGCCCGGCAGCGAGCGGCGCCTTCCAACTCCGGGTAACCTACGCTGCTGCGGGCTTGGCAGGAAGCCAGGCCCAGCCATTTTTTGGGGGAGGGGGGTTTATGAATGCCGGGCCAATTCACCCACGGACCCCTTCCTTGCTTTGAGAAAAGGGAACTGGGGTGCCGCTGAGCCTGGTTGCTTCCGGGGATATCCGCGGGGAGTACTGGGGCCACAGTGTCGGTTCTTGGTTTTCCTGGAGCTGGAGAGCCTGGAGGGGTGGGCACCAAGAGGAATATGGGAATACCCCCGTTCTGGGCCCTCCCCGTCCTCGAAGCCCCTCCTGCCTCCTCTGCCCGGGCCTGTACTGAGCCGCCCTGCAGATCCAGTGGGCCATGGAAAATTGGATTCTACTCACGAACCCGGCGTGGGGGCGGGTTACTGGGAAGGGGCGTGAGTGTGTGCTGTTCAGCACTGTACTGTAGCTTATAGGGAGGCCTGTTTTCTCAGAACCTTTAGGGACCAGAGACCGCCGCAGGAATCATGAAAACAGATTTTTTTTTTTTTTTAAAGATGACAGGTAAAGGGATCTTAACCCTTGGCTTGGTGTTGTCAGCACCACACTCTACCAACTGAGCGAACCGGCCATCCCTATATACGATCCGCACCCGTGGCCTTGGTGTTATCAGCACCGCACTCTCCCGAGTGAGCCACGGGCCGGCCCATGAAAACCGATTTTAACCTAACCATTTCTAAGGTACTGGCCGTGTTCTTTTATTGTTTGGCTATTGTCTTGTACCATATATGGCTTGAAATCGGTAGGCCATTAGCTAGAATTTGAGAATCCTTCAACATACCGGGAGATTCTGGAAGCAAGAATTCAGCTATCCGTAACAGAGGTACTGTCCTTCAATAAGGCATTCCACTTTGGCCAAGGAAAGGGAATGGCTAGTGTGACAGTAAAGAGATCTAATCACAGTGCATAGAGTAAAGAAACCTAGAGTACAGAGGAAAAGTGCATCAGCATTAATATTCAGCAGTTTTAAAGGGCTCCCAGAAATGAGGGGGTCTCAAAAATAGATTTTGGCAAATCATTTCTTTGTGTGTTTTTCTGTTCCTCACGCTTAAGCAAAACCTTAGGATCGCCTTACAATCATTCTATCCTCACCCCTTTTCAGTTAGTAGTGCCTTTAGGATTCATTTCTCCCTTCCTTTGCTTATCCACAATGCAAATTTCAGGCCCTTGTCTTCTCACACCAAGATTCCTGCGGTCAGCTAAGCTCTTCCAGGCTTTGTATCCTTACTTGTGGTCACCTGTTCTTTACCCTGGAATTTAAACGATTTATCAACTATAACCATATCTTACCTAGTCGGTCTTTTATAAATTTTCTTCACACTATTCCTCTGCTGTTTTCCCCAGACCCACCTTGCTATGCTTGAATCATGTTTTTCCTTTCTATTTGCTGATCCCAATGAGGCCATTTCTTCATATCTCCCTTCCATTACCTGACTAACCTGTCCCATAAGGAACTCTGTTCTGCTTTAAATTCCCTGAACACTTAATGCTGTATAACCTTATGTACAGAATGAGATAATGTTTGCAAAAGTTCTTTGTAAAAGAGTTCTCAAAACAGGGGGCACAGTTGTCCACATGCAGTGATTTTTTTTTTTTTACTTCAGCTCTTGCAGATACCCAAGGATAATCATGTAATCTTTCATATAATCTTCTTGGGTCTCTCTTCTGCAAAATGGAATTAATACTTTCCCTATCTATCTTTAGTTGAGGATCCGTCAAGATAGCTGCAGAAAGTATTAATACTTTGACGTAAGTGAAAGATGCCTTCCAGATTAGAAAGGAAGAATGGGGAGGTAATGTTAGTTGCTATACAAGTAGAAAGAATAAAGCCGATTGATGGAAAAATGAATTTTAAAATCAGTGACTTCATTTTCTAACATCCTACTGTTATCTCAAGGGTTGTAAACTTCTGTGAGAAATGGTCAAAAAACTGCTTTTACTTCACTTTAAAAAAAGATGTGTAATATAGCACTTTTTTGTGGAAAGAGCCTATAAAATTAAGCCTTTTATTAAATTTACTGACTGTTAGATGGGTACCAGGCATGGAAGGGGGTCCAACCACAGGGAGATATTTGTAAACATAGAGTGAGTCTAGATGCAAAGCACTTAATTTATCATGACTTGAGAGTTGAGAATAACCTCTGGATGGAGGTAGTGTTTTAGTTGAGTCTTGAATAATATTTGGGGGAAAGGCACAGCCCCATTTCAGGTAAAATGAAACTGCTAGAGCTTAGGCCAGAAAACCTGCAAATTAAGGAAAGAGTAGTTTGATGCAACTGGCTTGTAGTGGATGATGTAACTGGGAAAATAAATTGGGGACAGGTCGTAAAAGGCATTGAATGCCATGTTCAAGAGTTTGAATTTTGGTCTGTAGCAGCTTGAATTTTGGTCTGTAACCACTGCAGAGTTTTGAGGTGGGAGTAGCCTGATATAACCTGGAAGCACGGTTCAAATAATAAAGAATTAAAATTACTATCCACTGTTAAAAAAAATAAATTTGCATTTTTCTTTTTAAAAAAATGTTTCTCGTTTTACGTGGCCTCCTTTGGAAGAAAATCATATTTACTACCTTGTTTTTCTCCTGCAGATACCATGTTTAGACTCTTGGATTCATAGTCCTTCTATGTACCTCATAGTTGTATCTTCCCATTTGTTCACTTTGCCATATAAGAGGCAGTTAGAGGTTTATCAAAGACCTTCTGTTCTCATGAGCATTGTTTTCATACTTGTCCTTTCTTGTTTCAAGTCTTTGCAGTTCCTTACATCCTTGTATTGAATCTGGCAAGTATGTGCTTAAGGAATAATACATTTTAAAAATGTGAAGATTTCATAAATTCAGGGATCTAAGATATGAACTTCGTAGTACTCCTAAAAGAAAGTATATTGCTAACCCACATTGTTCCAGAGTTTAGGTTTTGATTTCGCGTTTGTTCCTGTACTGTACCGTCACTTGTTGTGGCATTATTAATATCTTTGATTTTGATTCTCACTATCTTATCAGGTACTTTTGACATTTATATTGAAGAACTAGACTAAAGATCCCAAATGACTTCCCGAGATTACAGTCATACAGCTAGTAAAAGTGGCATTATTAACACCTTCCACCATTAAAAATATATGGTTATGAAAAGTATACACTAGAATAACTTGAGTTGGGGGGATGATGCAGTTTTCTTGTTTTTTTGGTTTGTTTTTTTCTAATTAGGAGGCTTTATTTATCTGGCGAATATGATGTCACACCACAAAAAGAAAAAACTTGAAAACCACATCCTTCCGGATTCTTTGTGGTTTGTTTTTTTCTAATTAGGAGGCTTTATTTATCTGGTGAATATGATGTCACACCACAAAAAGAAAAAACTTGAAAACCACATCCTTCCGGATTCTTTGTTGTCTCTAAGAGTGTACTTGAAGGTGGTTAGTTAATTTGTGTTTCCTGGACTCCCTTTAATAGCGTTAGCAAGTTTGGTTTGTGATTACCTTGATTCAGAATAGTAATCTGAATCTTACCAAATATTGCCTCTTACAGGGTCAGAAAATTCTTTTCTAAATTCTGACCATCATTCCAAGCAGTAAATGTCAGCTCTTCCCCTCGTCAGTGTCCAGGCTCTAAACATAATGGTTTCTGCTGTCCTCTTCCCCAAAGATCTTAAGGGTCCCATATGGAACAAGAACTTCATTGTTAGAAAGCATTGGGTGGTAAGAGACTCACCCTTTAATACTCTAGTTTGTGAAATTGCAAAACTTAAAGGAAATAAAAAATAATGCCCTGTTAGGTAAAAGGAGATTTCTTTTACTGTAATTGTACTAATCATCAGCAGATCTGGTCTTCACTGCCATAGGAAAACCTGAAGGGAATTATCTGGGTGGCTTACGCATATAGCTGCTATTCTATGCATTGTTGAAATAGTGGCAATAAGAGTGCATTGTTTCTGGTACTATAGGAGGAATGTTTTATACAGTATAAACAATTTTCTTGTTAATATTAATAACATGAGGCGAGGGAAGAAATTGAGACCTAAAAGGAGAGTCTCTAAAGGGAGTATCTAAAGTCTTGTAAAAAGAAAGACCTTCCTTGTCTACTCCCACTTCTGAAGAAAGTTTGAAGTTATGAGACAATAAAGTGAATGCTCAAGTTTGTTTCTTTTTTATTAGAGCAAATTTTTCAGAACATAAAACAAGAATATAGTCGTTATCAGAGGTGGAGACATTTAGAAGTTGTTCTTAATCAAAGTGAAGCTTGTACTTCAGAAAGTCAGCCTCATTCTTCAGCACTAACAGCACCTAGTTCTCCAGGTAAGCATGCTTTGGTGTTCAAAATTCATTTAAGACTTTGTAAATGGTACTTATAATGATAGTTTCCCAGTCCAGAATTGATGTCCTCTAAAGTAATAAAATCAGTAAAGTGGATGCATTATATTATTACTACTTATAAATACTTTAAAAACCACAAAGTCATGAAATTGGGAAAGAACTTGGATTGATTTGATTGGGCTTCCATCCACCCAGTGCAAGAAAGAGTAATGTCCTCTGTAACTACAGTATTACTTACTGTAGCCATTAGCCACATGTGGCTATTTAATTTTAAGTTAATTAAAATTAAATAAAATTTAAAAATTCAGTTTTTCAGATGCAGTAGTCACATTTCAAGTGTACAGTAGCCACATATGGCTGTTGTATTGGACATGCAGCTGTAGAACATTTCCATCTCTGCAGAAAGTTTTGTTAGACAGTGCTGCTCTAACATCATTGGTAGGTGGTCAGAAAGGATGTGCTCAAAAACAGAATCTCAGAGTTGGAGGGAATCTTTGTGGTCACATAGTGAACTAGTCTTGCCTGCCATATCCCTGCAAAAAGTCAACAAACCAGTGTTTGAATATCTCTGACAGTGAACTCCGTCTCCTTTAACAGTAGAGGAGTTTGTCTCTACATAAAGATTCTACTTTTTAACAGTTCTGAGGGTTAAAAGTTACCTTGATTAAAAATTACCTCCTTAACAAGAACACAAGTTGTTGTTTGCCAGGAGCTAGGGGAGAGGAGAATGGGGAGAAACTGCTTGATGGGTGAGGGGTTTTACTTTTTGATGTGATGGAAATGTTTTGGAACTAGATAGAGGTGGAGGTTGCACAACTTTGTGACTGGTAGATGCCACTGAATTGTTGGCTTTAAAATAGTTAATTCTATGTAACGTGAATTTCATCTCAATAAATTATTTTTATTTTTTTAATTGTCTCCTTATAATCCAGAGGTCCTGGCTCAGGAATAGCGACATCTCTTCTAATTGCTTTTGCACATACATGAGTGATAGACCTTTCAGTGGTTAGAGCTAGGAAGTCTCACCTTAATCTTCTCTTGAGATTTTAGTAATACAAGTGTACTTCGAAGCGTTTATGGAAGGATTCGTATTGTCTTTTAATTGTTTTCCCATGCTCTTGTTGAAGTACCCTTATATACTTTGGAAATAATAGAATATGTTAGGGGTAGAAAAACAGTTATAAATAATGACTGGTTGGATGTTTTAGTTAGGTTTCATTTGTAGAGAAAAAAATATACTCTGGTTTGTTTAAGCAAAAAATGATTTGCTTCAGAGTGTTAAGTGGCTTACAGACTAACGTAAGAGTGAAGAGACAGATTCTAGTCTGAGCTTTGAGGAACATCTCAGAACTGGTCTATCACCAGGGCTGTTGCTTTAATGATGATCAGGAAGCCACCTGTGGAATCCATTGTTCAGCTCCAGAATGAGACTGTTGCTCTTTTTGCCTCAGCACCAAAACTGATGCCTGGTGCAAGCTTATCCCCCCACTTAGTACTGAATTTAGATCTTTCATGAGTGCATCAGAAATCCTAGCAACCAAGGAGTCTGAAAAATGTAGTTTTGAATTTCACAGCCTCTGCTGCGAAAGAAACAGAGGAGACACTAGAAGGAAACTAAAATAGATTTTTAGACAAGGGAATCCGTAGTGTCCACCACAAAAGTTCTGGTTCTAGTATTAGAGTTCCATGTTTTCTAGCATTCCAAGGGATATTTTGATTTCTAACTTTAGTAGTTTATGAGCATTTTACTCTTTTCAACCTAGATTCAAAAAGGATGAGATGTGTAGTACCTAATTGTATACCTTCATCCATACTTCAAAAAGGAACTCTTTGTGAATATGCTTGAACTTGTTAGGATCTTGATTTGATGGCCTTAAAGGTTAATGACTTTGCTAAGTTTTTTTATATTGAGCAAGTCCCTTGGTCTCATAAGCCTCAGATTCCCCATTCTTATCAGAATCATCTGTGGATCTTAAAATAAAAGGTGCCCAAGCCCTGCCCCGGAATTAAATCAGAATGTGTATCTTTTGTGGTTAGTTGTACAGATGATTAGGACGCAACTCCTTGATTACACATAGGTCTAGATGATCTCCAAAGGCCTTGTAGGTCCTATGCTGTGGATACACTTTCTCTAATCCAGACTAGAGGTTTTATGTCAGCTTTAAACTTTTTGTTCTTATCGTTTATGAAATGAGCATTGCATAGGAGCTGAGATTGTTAGTGTCAGAACTGCTTTTCTTTATGCAGATCAGCTGGCACACCTGGATACATGTCGTTCCTCCTACCTCTCAATTTACCTTTGATTTTGCTTTGTAAAGCAAATGGAGAATTTTGTGAAAATATTCCATGTAAAGTAGTGAATAATATAATTTTCCTAAACAGTTTTTATATATCTTGAGGACTATTTATATAAAGTTGTTAATTCTGAACCTTACAGCTAGAATATATTATGTAAACTAGATTTATCTTTTGGCCAGGTTCCTCCTGGATGAAGAAGGACCAGCCCACCTTTACCCTCCGACAAGTTGGAATAATATGTGAGCGTCTCTTAAAAGATTATGAAGATAAAATTCGGGAGGAATATGAGCAAATCCTCAATACCAAACTAGCAGGTAGGCTAAGGCAGTGACTATGCCATTGTTAAGAGGGTTCAGTACGAATTAACTCCCAGTTAAGTAACTTAAAAAAAGAACAGGGTTTCATGTAAGAGGATTTATTGAGTTGTGAATATTGCAGTTACTGTTCTGGTGATTGTAAACATGAAATTTACACATTATATGGAAGGACTTCTCATTTGCACTTCTGAAAGAAGATAAACCAAGCTGTTCTTGCAAGAGTTTTCTATATGAACAAAGGCATTGAGTAGGCCATTTGGGCGTGCTGGCTGGTGCACAGGTGTTTGGGATATGGTACTAACTTCCCAGCAGGTGTTTGGGAAGAGTGCAGTATTGTCAACAGATCGAGGCTTCCTGGTGGTGGTAGTCTGTGGATGTGAGAAGTCTGGCATCCTTTGATTTGGGAGGTAAAATAAAGCAAGGAGAGCCTACCTCAGGTTAGAATAAAGGTAGTGATTAGTGATGGCAACAAGTAGATCCTTATATGAAAGAAAGGAATCTGAATCAGGAATAGAAAGTAGTATCTGTTTAGTTAAGGAGAATGATGGGATCAGAGAAGTTTTAGTTTCTTCCTGTTAACAGTATTATTTCCTAATATGGTAACCTATGCAACATGGTTCCTCAGAATGTTAATAGGTCTACTTTAATTTAAATTGCAAACTGTCGGGTTAAACAGTTAAATGGGTTCCTTCATAGTAGAATTTCTTTGATCCTTTAATATATGAGTTATAAGAAAAAGCTCTAGTATATTATTCCCTCTCCCACCCCAATATTGTTCAAATCAGATGGCTCTAAGTCACTTCTCTGTTCACAGATGTTAGGCTATCTTCTACCTTTCTGCTGTGTTTTCCTTTAGAAAGTATGACTTAATGCTGAACTGTCTACAATTAGATAGTATAGAATTTTCTTTTAGCTTCTGGCCATCCCACCTCTTCTACTCATCTTTTTTGCTCATTGTGTGTGTTGAAATTTATACTAAGGAAAGAGCTTTAAAACTTCATGTCCCAAAGAAGATTTGCTGAAATTTCTTGGCCTGTAGTAGTAAGCATACCTCTCTGTCTTGGGAGGCCATAAGTAGGGGATAGAGTTACGGCAGGGAAGAGTTATTAGGAAAATGTTATTATAGATGATTAGTGACCAGATCTAGAAGCCAGGGAGTTGGCTCTGGGATCTAAGAGGAAGAAATAGATCTCAGTGACCTTTATAAGGAGGGCCTTAGAGTGTGGAAAATTCAAACTGGGAAGCTAGATATGATCCTGACACTTGATTTTTGAAAAATTAGGGAGTTTCTGGGTATAAGTGTGAACTGTCTTTCCCCTCACAGAACAATATGAATCTTTTGTGAAATTTACACATGATCAGATTATGCGACGATATGGGACAAGGCCAACAAGCTGTAAGTATTGCCAGGTTTTTCTTTGAATTTTTCAGGCTCAATATCTTATCTTCCAAGAGCAAATATCTTATCTCCTGAGAAAAAAAAGCCCCTGTGAAGTAAAATAATAGCTAAAATTACTGATGTGCCCAGCACAGTGTTAAGCTCTTTAAATCCTCACTGAAGCTTATATAATCCTCACCGTAACCTATGAGGATGGAACTATTATTAGCCCCATTTTACAGAAAGGGATAGCACTTAGAAGAGGTTAAATAATGTGGCCAAGCTCATATAGCTACTGGTTCAGCCAAGATTGAAACCTAGGTAGTCTGTCTCTACCACCAGTTTGTTTGTCACCTGTGTTTTCTCCAGAAAGGTAGTTCAAGTTCTTTTATGAAAGTTGATTCCTTAAGCTAGTTTATCAGGTGTGTGGTCAGGATTTCTTTAATCTAAACATTTCGCAACTACCAATTACTCAAAGCATAAATTATAAATAGCTATGTTAGTATATCTAACTGAACTTGGCTCAGGTTTCTTAAATTCTTGAGGCTTAGTTTTTTTGTTTGTGTGTTCATTTGTTTTGATGGCTAGCTGGTACAGGGATCAAACCCTGGACCTTAGTGTTATCAGCACCATGTTCTAACAGCTATCCCTTGTTTAGTACTTTTTAAGTGGCAACTCATGTTTCCGTGCTGTTTATCACATTTACTTTTAGGTAATATAAATAAAACATGACACTACATTTTTTTGGTATTCTTACCCTTTTGTTTTTTATTCCTAACTTACAGATGTGTCCTGAAGCTTTCTTGCATATCTGGGTACCAGGTTTGACCTCAAGAGATGGCTGCTGTACACTTTTTGCAACTGGTTTGATATCACATTTCAGCTCCAACTTTGCATCCTGAGAACACTTAAACGTTTCTGCAGGTCCATTTTATACAACTTGAAAGACCTTAAAACTTTCTGGTTGCCACAAGCATATCTTTCTTTTCTGCTCATCCAATAAACAGCTGTGCCCTACTGTGATAGATTTTCCAAACAAAAACCTGGAGCAGCAGTTTAGCAAAATATGCCTTCAGTGGCATGCAACAAATGGAGTTTCCCCGAGCACAGTTCTGTAAGAAGTGTGTATGAGAATGTGTGTATATGTGTGTATGTATATTTTAAGTTATTATTTGTATTGTGCAAATTTTTTTGATCTTGGGGATTCTGGCTGTGAATTTGATGCACGACAATTATGGTTAGAAACATTTGCTTGGTCTACAGAAGATCATTAATGTTTTGTGACCATATAAGTTGTAACAGTGGATTGTTTTATGTGTAGGTATTATTATTAAATACAGGGACTGTTTCCAGGCACAGAATATGAATCATAAGTTAGGATGGACATTAGATGTGATTATGATGATGTAGTGATGGTCTGCGGTCCTAGATCTACAAATGCGGTGAGAAATTAGAACGAAGTGGAGAGACAGGCCATTGATGCATGGACTCTGCCTAATTGTGTTAGAGAAATACTTTGACTCCAAGCCTTAAAATACCCACATGGAGTCGTCGCTCACCTCATTCACACAATCAAAGAGCTCCCTGGACACTGAACCTCTAAAGGGAAAATGTCTTCCCTGGAGCAGGAGCATCAGGGTTTGTTCAAGAGCATAACGTAGGTGAGCATGGGGCTGGGTCAGGCCCCGACGGCACTGCTACCTGGGAGGAGCCACTTCACCTTTGTATTGGTTATTAAAAGCAGAATTTGGATTCTTTGGTCTGGTTCCCCCAAATTCTTTTGAGGTGTCCGTGTTCAACTGCTTGAGCTTTGTTTTGGCAACCCCCTGCCTGAAGTTGCTTATTGGCTGTTCTTCACCTTATCTCCAAGGTTGAGGAACAGAAAGTAGCCTCTGTTTTGAGGAGGTGGAAGTTAAGTATACACTTATTTTTTACTGTGACTTGTTCAGGACCACATTTTACAAAATGCCTTGTTTCCTTTATTATTGTTTCTGGAAAGGAAAGTTCTATTAAAATTGTTTTAGTTTGAATATAGAATAGTTTTTTTTAATTAGGGCTTATTTTGAAAAATTCTGAGTTTAATTCAAATGTATGCTGATACCTTCCAAAGTAAGGTAATATTCAGAGACAGTTGTTCAGATCAGATGGCTTAGAGAAGTTCTGGGAATATTCACATTGGAAGATTCCTTATTAATGAATGTCTTTGACTTAAATCTAACCAAAAACTGCAACATTATTCTTTGTACATTTTCATTATATAGTGTTAACAAGCTTAGTTGCAAACAAATAAAATACTTAAGCTATTTGTTTACCTTGCCTTCTTAATACTGGGATAATGTTTATTAATTCAAATAACTTACATGAGGTTGCTATATCCATTTTCTCAGTTCAACAGTACGCTGATGACTTACAGACCTTTTTTTAAAAAACCCAGCAGTGATCTTTTAATAATTAAATAATGATTTTACTTCATATTTGAAGGGCAGTTTGTTTCATCTCTTCTTTTTCCAGGGTAGTCACTTGTTCCTGGAAGAGGAACAAAGCAGTGGCTGTAATGGGAGTGGCCCTGCAGTGGGATAGTCACACCAAAACAAGGAAAGGGCAGCTGTGGGGCTATCCAAAGTTGTGAAGCCTAAACTAGAAATGGGGAAAGCTGCCTCACTGAAGTCTTGTGATCAGTGTGATGTGCTCACTCACTATTGCAAATGTTAGCCCCCATTTCTACTAAATGGCTTCTGGTTGGTAAGTAGAGTAGGTTTCAATAAGAAAAATGACACATTCTCACTCTACTCTTTCAAGGCACCCAGTATTGCTGGGCTATTATATTATAATATGGTTGCCCTCTGGGCCCACAAGGTAAGACCTCATCAACATGGCTGGGTTTTGGGATCTCCCCTAAAGAGACTGTACATGTTTGTTTAGTGTTTATAATTCAGAGAAAAGACAATTCTTAGGACAAAAAATGGGGGCCTGTAAGGTAGGTCTTAGACTGGCAAAAGAAGGAATTTTTCTCTAGACCTTGATTTCTAGGGCTTTGATTTAAGGGCACTGTAAGGAAGTGACTTCGTCCCATGGAAATCACAGCTCAAGAAAGAAGTCACCCTACAAACACCTATAAGGATGGGCCAGGACCTGTGTTTTTAGAACAGCTATATTTAACAGCTGGTTAAAAAGTTTTTCTCTATTTTAATTCCAGTTACTATTCTCTTTTAGTGAAGTCTTAAACTTAAGGGAAATGAAAACAGTAAGTATCCCTGCCTAGGTCAGAAGAGTTGAGGGAAGATGAAAGCTCCTGAGGCAGAGATAATTCCTGAGAGCTCCCCAAGGGAAGAACATCAGGGAATACAAGAATTCAGGTTAACCTTGCATACATGGTGAATCTTCTCTGCCCACCATGGAGAATTAGTTGGATAGTACAATAGTTAAAAGAATGGCCTTTGGGTATTTGTAGCCCTGGAGTTTACTCTCTGCTCTACCACTAATTTTCCATATGAACCTTGCCAAGTTAGTGAACTCTGAGCCATAGTTTTCTTATTTGTAAATGAGAATTAATAGCATGTACATCATTGGGTTTTATTTTCAAGTGCAAAAAATAGTCCATGTAAAAAAAGTATTTAGCACAGCTTGGGGCATATAATATGAACTTTAGAATGTCACCGCAGTTTTCTTTATAGTGGTCGTCTTCAGATCTGGAGACCAAAATCTTCCTGTGTGCAGTAATGATTCTCAATTTTCCAGTATGAATAGCCCCTTCTTAACACCAAAATATCATGGTCTCTTATTAGAATTTGTATTTTTAAGTGTTTAAGGAAACAATAAAAGATAAATGACAAATGAATCTAGTGATGCCTTTCAGTGAATCTGTATTCACTATATATGTGGGGTTTTTTTTTGGGGGGGGGGTCTGTTTGTTTTTGCTGCTGGCCGGTTTAGGAATCCAAACCCATGACCTTGGTGTTAGACGGCTGCGTTCTAACCAACTGAGCTAACCAGTGAGCCCCATATTCATGTTATATATGTTACTCACTATAGCAGGGGTCAGCAAACTATGGCCTTTCTTTGTAAATAAAATTTTATTGAAACACTCCCATACATGTATTTATTTGTGTCTGGCTGCTTTCATACTGCTACTCCAGATTTGAGTAGGTTCAACAAATAGCGTGGTATGGGCCACACAAGTGAAAATTCCTTTCTCTGGCCCTTTACAGAAAAATTTGCCAGCCTCCACACTATACCATTAATAAACATTTGAAAAAAGAGCACACAAGGCAAACTTACTTCATTTGTAATCCTTGGTGTATCATGTATTGGTGGACACTTGCCCTCATTTGTTATTCCTAGGTAAAAAATATATACCTTAAGTTGAGACATGATGAAAAAATTCTTTGCTTACAAATGAAAATTGACAGATTGCCGAAGTATCTTGGAGAAAAAGCTAATAAACGACTGGTTACAGCAGTGATTCTCAGGGTTGTAAACAGAGTGCATACTATTTGGGGAGGGAAAAAAGATTCAGAATGGCCGATTATTTCTGGCATGTTTAATTTTGAAATTTTAGGTATAAAAATAGGTGTGAGAATTTTATGTTAATCAGAAGATAGCATAAATTTAAAGATAGTTTGTAAAATACCATTCTTAAGGAAGAGACTTCTCTGCCATGCTGGAGATTTTCTTTGTTGAAAACCGCTTCAGAGAGTGCTGTAGTTTTCTAGAGCTACTAGAGTTAAACTGGACCTTGGATAAGGTTGGATACCTCCAGGAAGAAAGGAACACATTTAGGGAAAGATCTTCAACTACCCACCCCAAACCATACTTTGAAGTAAATTGCACTTCATTGTAGGGAGGGTGTGGTACTTTGATTAATAATTTCAGTACCTGAAGTCTTTATGATCTGTTCTGTTTTTGCTGATTGTTGCATAAAGTGTTGCATCTCCTTATGTGTCAGCTTATCTGTGAGCTGGACAATATATTTGAAAAATTATTTGCAGGAGTAAACTGGACAAAGATGAGTGTCTCCCTGTAGAAAGGATTTCTGGTTCCCTGTGCCTGGGGATACTTCCAAACCATCTTAATTCAGGTTGAAGACTAGAGGTTCCCTGAATCATCCAGATGATACAAAATCAGGTGGCAAGTCTACTTGAGGACTAGTTTACTTTCGTTTCACCTTTATTTTGAAGGTGTGTACTTTGGAATCTCAGTTTAACATGTCTTTGGCAAGAGTTCCTACCTTTAGCTGGCCTTGGGTTTTGACTTTTGTCCACCTCAGCCCATGAGGCTGCTAAATACTTCTAAAAGTTCAGCTCTGGAGTGTAGGAGCTTCTTGCAGATTGGCAAATGCCTTAAAGGAAAAAGCAGTTCTGAGTGCTAAGCGTAGCTCTGGGTTCTCTTTTAGATTTTGGCTCAGTTATTCCTCATTACCCAGTTAGCCTTTTGATGCTCTTAAGAAAATGATTTTTTTATCATTTTAACTGCTTTTTAGTTGGCTGTAGCAGTAGGTCGATCCAAATTTCCTGATGGTCCATTTACAGAAAAAGTTTCTGTGTGTTCCTTGTCTCCTCGGAGCTTTGATTAATCAGTGTAGGCTGTTAACCTGGCTTGGTACCCAACATGTTAAGCAGAGAAAGACATGTATTTATACTGGCTTTGAGTGTTTCTCAGGCATTCAGCAAGCATTACTGGTGTCTTTTGTGTTATTTGTGGAGGACAGATAATAAATTGAGTTTTTAAGCCTGACAATTTATTTAAGTACCCTTAGTCTGTCTGTCTTATATCCCTAGTGCCTGATTTAGAATTAACATAGTCTGTCGAATCTTGATCCCTGAGAAGGGACTCAGTGTAGCAAGGAATATAAGCAAGCAAGGTAAAAGTTGGTAAGTATGTGAATGGTATGGGTATTGGACTGAGGAAAAGAAGAGGCGGTTCTGAGTAGCAACAGTGATCAGTGAAGGTTTCATGCGAGGAGGTAGGGTTGAAGCAAGGCTTCAAAGGATGAGTAGGGCTCAGGTAGGCAAAAGTAGGTAGTGGGGCCTAAAGTAAGCAAAGACTGGTGGGAAATCATGGTGGTGTGCAGGGAAGACATTCTTATTTAGCTATAGTAGAAAACTTGTGGATCCTGGGAAGAGAGTTTGGAGCTAGGTATTAGGGGCTAGATAATAGCTTTGACCCTCAAATAGGAGTTTGGCCCTCATTCTGTGGGAATCCGAAGAGTTTTGGGGTTTAGCTATAGTAGAAAACTTGTGGATCCTGGGAAGAGAGTTTGGAGCTAGGTATTAGGGGCTAGATAATAGATAGCTTTGACCCTCAAATAGGAGTTTGGCCCTCATTCTGTGGGAATCCGAAGAGTTTTGGGAAAACTACTTGCAGGGCAAAAGAGAAGTTACCAAACTAGAGACAGGTTGACCATTAAGAGCCTTTTTGTCCAGTCAGGTAATAAGGCCTGTACATTGATTGGGAAGGGTGATTAAGCACAGCCATGGCTTTGCTAAGTATAGAAAATCTTTCTGGTCTCGTGTTCCCTGTTCCCTAGGGACTCCTTCAAAGATCCTTTTTCTTTTGGTTTGGCTTGTCTTTACCCCCTCACTTATCTAATCCAGCCCATTCCTGTAGCTACTGGGGTTTTTCGTTTGTTTTTTCTGTGTGGTTTTTTGGGGGTTTTGTTGTTTGGCATAAATTCTAAATCCACCTGTTAAAGGCATTAGTTAACTCTTGCAGGACTATTGAAAATTTTTCTTCTCAGACTCTGTCCCCAGCATTAACTCAACCCATCATTTTTTAGGATGCTTCTATTGTTCCTCTGCCTGGAATTCCCTTCTCATTTGACAAACACCTACTCAAGTGGCAATTGTCTTTCTGCTCCCTTCTTCAAGGCAGTTATTCACTCAATAAATGTTTATTGAGCAACTACTGTTAAGTTCTGTTCTAGGCACTAGAAATACATCACTGAACCAGAGACAAGGTCCCTGCTGTTGTGGTTCTCTCATGTTTGTGAGACAAGACAAGCAAACTAGTAAACAAGATTTAAAGAAGAAAATAAAATGGTAACGATGTAGTAACTAGGTTTCTAAGTTGGATTGTAAGGAAGATCTTTCTGAGGAAGTGTTATATTTATACAGTACTTCATTTTAGCACTTCACATTATGCTCTTATACAGTTGTATAATGCGTTTGTGTGTCTACATGTCTTTTCTACTATACTGAACTCTTGGTAGCACCTTATTACCTCTATTCTTGTCTCTTAAATGATGAATGACAATAATGTGGCTACTATTTCTCCGTCTTCAGTGTACTACCTAAAACCCTTTCCCTTAACTCC